CACCTTTCCCACCAGCAATGACACAAGCAGCCCTCAAACCTTTTTAGGGCATGTACTTAATATCTCTTTGTCAAGGACCCTCTAACATGTGCAGTAGATCTGATCAAATAATGTTCGTAGGCATCCTGTCTGTAGGTGGGCCGTTCTTTAAACAGTGTTTGTGACATATCTGATGTGCCAATTTGTGGCGTATCCCTCTCGTCGGATCTTTTGAAATGTTAAACATGCTGAAGCAATTTTCCTTGCGAGGATCCTCAGTGTTTTAAGGCATATTTCAAAATCAATAAAGACTTTTCCATTTCTTGAATATATAAAAAAAAGTTTTTACAGCAGCCACATTATCCTGCCATTAAATTAATCTTCTCAAACATTGATGTTCTCAAAAATCAAAGTTGATGAGCATCACCTCTTAACACAAGTGCAGGCATAACTTATTTTTAAAACTCTGTGTGTAAGTCAATCCAATTGCACAAGATCTCACACTTGAGATGTGACGTGGATATGATCAGCCGACAGGGTGATAATTAACAAACTTAGCAAATGGTAATTTGATATGATAGTGATATAATGACATCTTTTGAGAATTCCAGAGGGATTCAAGCCCATAATTCATTTTGGCTGTGTGCTGTATTCTACTGTCACCTAGATCCATTACTTTTTTTTACTTCATACTTCACATGTTTTACCAATATCATGACATTTTCCTTAAGCAGCTTCAATTCGAGATACATCACGTCCTTGTTCTAGAGCTTCTATCACAATGAGACAAATATTCAAACACAAGATGCTTGGATGAATAGAAAATTATTGTTTACACATATCCCTGTAATTTTGTGTGACACATTTGTTAAGTTTGGAAACCTTTGCACCTTGATCAAAATGTAAAACAAAGTTGTGTGGGTTGGAACAGAGTTTGTCTGCACAGTATGCGTCATATTGATGAACCTACCAAGGGGTCTGACTTGAGAAGTTTAAGAAATGTACTCCAGTTTGCCCAAGCTGTGATACAGTATATAGGACTGAGTTTGTATGAATGTTGTTGATATTCTGCAGTTGTACAATGAAAATACAGAGTGAGAGTTCTGACATCCAAAAAGCTGAGGAGGTCTTCTTTGCTGAGGAGGTCTTCTTTCATTTGTTAGTAGGCTGCAGACAGGAAGCAAAACTTCACTTTAAATAAATAAAAAACATGGGGTATGGTGTATGTCTTTCAGCCCTGCATTTTTGACCATCAGACATAAGGTATGCAATTCTCCCAGATGTCTTTACAGATGTTTTCCCGTGTGTCCTAAAAACTGCAGTTATCCCTTTATCCATATATAGCCTTGTAAACATTTTTGTAACTCTAAGCTATATAACTACATATTAAGTTTGAAGAGATATTTGTGTTTTGAACTTTCAACCTTTCAGCCTTTGTTTTGAAATGGAATTTAAGGATTTTTAACATTTTAAATCCTATGCATAATCTGTCATTTATTTTAAACCAGGCTCAATACCTCATCTGCCAGAAATCACCTCGGGCGGTTAATGAAAGTAAGCCTGATCTCTGAGTGGAAATCATGCCAATTTAAATACTTTGAAGCCAGATTTACTCTTGAAGCATCTCAGTTTCTGGACTCTCACAATGGTTAAAGCCGATTATGAGTCATCATACGCCTGATCACATTGGCCAACAGACAGAAGTCATGGAGCACTATGCTGCTGATGTACGTTTCATTTTGGAGATAATTGGTAGAGATAACACACTGTACGTAGCTAGAAAAGTAGGATAACTGTGTAGTTTTTTTCCACTGACAAGGTCAAAAAAAATACCCTTCTCTGACCCTTTCTAATAATTTTCATACAGTCCATGCATGTTTGCATATTTAAGGACTTTAAACGTGCCTGTAAATGTAAATGTGACGAAGCGGCAGTAAATAAGCGATGTACAGTAAATCTATCACCAAATGCATCACAAGGGCTGCTGGGCAAAAGGATTGGTTTCATGCATAAATCAAGGAAAAATTAGCTTATTAATATAATCATTTTTGTAGTTGTCCAGCAAAAAAATACAAGCAGTTACTTCCAGAATGAATAATACAAACTCAAGGGTGATGTTTCACTATATCAGACCCCCTAAACATAGGCAAGCATGGAACATTGACTCATTGTTTTAACCAGGCATTTGAAATGAGCTCAAGTCTCTATATCTGAGTCATTACATTGCGTGTGGATGCAGCTGGTGTAATAGCAATTAATGCGCTATATTAGAAGACCTCTTACCTGAGGCAAAAAAGTGATATGATGGACTGATTCAAGCATGGGACAAGCATTGATTTTTAAATATCGATGACAAAAAGAGGAAAATGAATAAATGAATCTACTGAAATCAAGTGAACGACACCAAACCGAGGCAGAGGTGTAGACAACATCCTTACAATACAGTAAATGCAGTTATTCTACCGTCATCCCTGAAACAAAACCCAAGTGGTCCCACTGGCACTGTCACTCTTTGACATGCCTGCTGTACCCGTCTTCCGCTCCGCTGCAAGTGTTGAGGATATGAGCATGGGCACAGAGGGGCCCCCGACAATCCCCCATCGGTAAAGGAGTCAAGTCAAAGGACTGAGTTAAACTGAAGCCGGCACAGACATATTTTGCAAATAATGTATGGCTGATACAGCGCTCATTTGAATTTAACATGAGGTGCGAGGAGCTTCCCCATGTAGAGGTATATCTCATTAAACAGTTTGGCCTCACTCCGTGTGCACAAAGTTCCACCTCCAGTCGAGAATTTAAAAATAAATTAAAATCCTTTTGGAAATATTGATCTTGAGAGAGAGAGAGGGGCTCCAGAGGCCCTCATGTTGTGCTCTGAGGTGTTGGACATCATGCAGATACGCAATCCCAATTTCACTCTTAGATTCCATTCATGTAAAATCTAAACAGCATGCTTTGGTAACTCTGTTTATCCTGTCGTGACACAGTGTGGGTTATGCCCCCAGCTGAATACTTACTTGTTTTCCCTGTCTGGCAACTAATATCAACCAGACTAAAGTTTGTTTGTCAGGTCTAATTTAGCTCATAGAAACATTGCATCCTTGCTTCCCAGTGTCCTTGGTGCTATATCTAAGCGCTGCCACCCCTCCTTCCTCCCCCTACGCCACCCCTCCCCTCCTGTGCCAACACATCAAGTGAAGGCAGCCTGATCAACCCTAATAGGGCCTGGTAATTAGAGTCTTTGCATAGAGCCTGTCTGCACACAGCTGCCCTAAGCAGGTTGGGGAAGGACTGCCATACACTTGACAGTGTGGAAAAACAATGTAATGTTCAGTATATGGATCAAATTAGCCTGGCTGTGGTAAACACAATTTACTTCAGAACAATACTGACACTAATTAGGCAACCAATGTATCATTTCAGAGTTCAAGTTTTAATTGCTGTATCAAATACTTAAATACTTGGAGAGCCAACTTGATGTTTCTGGAATACAAATTAGAAAGCCCTTACTGCATGAAGGCTAAACACAGCAAGCTTCAGGGAAATAAACATAGTGGTTGATATTTCTACAGTTATCTGATATAGTGGGAAATGGAATCCTGATTATTGCACTGGAGGAAAGTCATGTACTGTATACGAGCTGTAAAGTGTGACTAGCAAGCAAACAAACAAACCATACATTCTTTGCTCTAAAATAAACTAACACATACAATATGTTTCATCCATTAGCTTTAACTTTGAATTAGCCTACTTTTAAGTATCTTCATAAGAAGCTGCGGTACACAGTCTAAACAGAACTTGGTTAAACAAAAACTGAATATTGGATAAATTAATGAATACATATTGAAAATATCTCAGTGTCATATTTTTCTACAAAAAACATTCAAGACAAGATCAAATGAAAGACTGGAATACATATTAGTGACTTCGGACAATTAAGAAAAAGGAAATGGGTATTTTATTAGACATCCCACTCATGGCACATTAACTCTTCCCATGCTGCAGTATCCTTATGAAAACAGTCTGGGGGAGTGTAGCAGCACCTTGCTAAAAATAATATTCAGTAATTTTTACAAAAGAAAAGTATTTCAGGGACTGTGAATAGGCAACTTCCTGCAGCAACTACTCTGTTTCTAGTTTTGCAATGCCTCGTGTTCAGTTAATTGCTATTTATTTGTTACCAATCTCTGACCTATTTGAATTTCTTGTATTGATATTTAATGAGACATCTTAACATCCTCTGCTTCAACACTCAAGAAAGACTATCAATACTGCACTAGTGTCAGCCATTGATTTAAGCCATATGTCTTCATATTTAATTTATATCTTAACTCAGCAGATGTTCACAGAACATGGTTTTAGCAACACATTGCTTCAGCTGCCCTGCACAACCACTTCCTTCTACTTTTAGCAACTGAGTAGCCCCATTAGTTATAGTGAAATGCTTTGCTCAATAGCATGCAGTGGTGGGTTATTTGGGGAAGGGTGTGTGTCACTTCACCACCCAAAAAAGTTTAGCTTTATGGGATCTGATTACTGATCCTGTTTATAACCAAGTGGCAATCCTTAAGATTTAAACCCTGGTTGATTTAGAAGTTTTAGAAGTCTGGATTCTTGGGCTGCATCTGAATTTCCATACTTACATGCTATTTTTCTGAATTGTTTGCATAGTTCTATTTTTTTTTTGTGTGGAGAAAACTGGAGAAAACGGTAATACAGAATTATTTTACACCTAGTTTGTAATACTGCAAATGTATAAATATTACAATAAGTTCAAACGCCTTCAGAGATAGTGATTTAACATATATTTATTTCAATGAAAATCTTCTAGATTGCCATTTTAAGTATAAACAGCATTCCAACCACAGGTCTTGAAATGACAACATTATGTGATATGAAAAAGCATGATCTGTTGTTTGGTTGTAAATCAAATAATTTGCAGATGAGGTGAAACTATTTTTTTATGCTTGGTTTGTTTAAATTTAGTATTTTTTCCCCTTATTTATTTAGTTAAAACATATACAGGATTTGTCAGTGTTTGGGTTGCTCTGCCTCTGGGACGTAAACACTTGCTGTAGCTGCTGATTCGCTACATCTCATTCTGCTCCCACAATTCAACAGGCAACAAAGGAAGAGGCCGTCAGCTACAAAGTGTTAGCCAACCTAGCCAGAGAGATGCCACCTTATTGTGTCATCCTAGTCGGAAATGTAAACCGGCACGTTTAGAGAAGAACCTAATTCAGCCATAATAATGCTTTATACTTTAGTTTTGGGTGTAATAGTTGATTAAAGGGAGGCGAACGGTAATGTTTTCGACAGCAAACGCTAACAAAGCTAGCCGATTGACTTAGTAGTAAGCTAATATTAGCCAAGCTAACAGTAGCCAACAATCGTGAAGAAGCGAACCTTTCATGAACGTCTTGTGTAGAAGAGATGCCATCCCCTCTGGGTTATTTTGCCCAGTGAGACAAGCAGAAGTGACCGGGTAGGAGATAATATAATGTCCATCTCTATATATACATATATATTTACATGTTTACAGATTTACTTGGAAAGTAGACATGCTAACAAACTAGTTCACTGGTTGTTAGCTATTTGATGTTAGCATATGAGCATGCCAACATCTGTCAAAATGGCAACTTTTATCGATTAACCATATTGTTTCTTGTGGCCTTAGTATTTAAAGTGTAACGTTACCTATTATATCGTCGTTGTGCAGACAGTGTCAGAATAATGTCATTAAAGTCACAAACTGACCAGCGTAGCTAAGCTAAAGGCATGCTGTAGTGACGGTAGGCCTTGCCAGGTCAGGACATACCTAGCTAACGTTGACTTTATGTATACATGCTGTCTGTGTTAAGTCATTATATATATTGCATTTTATGTGTCATCACCGTATAAAATCAAGTGTACACCAGACATGTGGAACTTGTTAAATTAACTGGCTTTGTTTTTCATAGCATCAAATGAAAGGTGGTGGAAGTGGAACTTGACCCATCCAACTGAGTCACCATTTTCCTGCACATAATGGTGAGTAATCAGATTGCAGCTGTCTTGATATCAAGCAGCTTTATATAGCTCAAGTCTAAGTGGCACATGTCTCTAGATACAGTTTTCATCTTGTTTTCTTTGATAAATGTGTTTTGTTCATTTAATATAGTCATGAATTACATTACAGTATGGGCGTTGAATATGGGAACTGTGATATATTTTCTATTGTTTGGCTGTACAGCCTAGCAAATTCGGTAGGAAGTGCTGGCTTTTAGTTGTAAGGCTGTTGAGGAACTTTGTATGTTCCACAGTAAACAATGCCGCAGGGCAGTGATCTAAACACACACAGCCAAAACAACCAAGGAAACTAACCCTATGGCAAACAGTGCCGTAGCACAAGCCGAGCAGAATATGACCTGGAAAAGTAACAATCTTTTAATGTCTGATCATAGACTTCAAACAGTCAATGAAACATTTTTCATTGACTGTTTGAGGTATTTATTTGGAACAAATATGACTATAATTTAATATCTTTAATATTTTGTTATTGCTCTTTCTACAGGGTTTGATGGCTCCACTGTATGCATGACTTGTTTGGTGCGGCCTGATGGGAGGACACTGTGGATAGTACTTTCATCAGGATACCAGGAGAGCCAACCCATGCCCCCACTTTGGAGGGCCTGTCAGAATGAAGAAGATAAGCCTTAAGACCATCCGCAAGTCCCTCAGCATAAAGGGCAAAGAGGAGGGGGATTTTGTCATGCTCCAGCAGCCCTCGGTGACTCCAGATTTTTCGAAGGAAGAGTCACTTTTTGGGGGCTGCTACACCAAAGAGCTATCTGGTTGTGACCTTGGTAGTGAAGAGGACAAAGGAGGCCAGAATAAGAGCCGCTCAAAGAGCGAGAGCCTGATGGGATCACTAAAGAGGAGACTGTCTGCTAAGCAGAAGGCAAAAGTAAAAGGCAGCTCCTCTGCCATAGGCTCAGTGGATGATGACGACACCTTCTCCTCCTCTTCTGTGCCCATCAGCTTCAACGAGGTGAAAGCCCAGAGACCCCTTAGATCCGCGTCCCTACGTAGTCACCATTATAGCCCTTCACCGTGGCCTCTGCGCTCCGTAAACTCCGATGAAGCGTGCATCAAGATGGAGGTAAAGGTTAAAGCCATGGTTCACTCTCCCAGCCCCAGTCCCAACTTAAATGGTGTCCGAAAAGAATTTCATGATTTTCAAATAGAAGGGCTCTTTCAGGACCAAGCAGGATCCTTAAAGCATCTCCAACAGCCACAAAACGGGGAGCTGCATTTAAATCTCGATGAAAATGACGTGCCTGTGGCGCTGGGGTTGACTCCCCAGGACTACATCCAGTACACGATGCCTTTAGATGAGGGAATGTACCCAGAAGGGTCCCACTCTTTCTGCCTGGAAAGCTCCTCTCCTATGGAGGTGGTGACTGAAGCAGACAGCGCGTCCCTCCACACAGACCAGGGACAGGAGGAACATGAGCTGGTTTGTGGGCTGCCTCCGGATCTCTTCATGGAAGCCTCGGTTAATAGTCTTCTCATTGGTTCCGCTGGTGTGATGCTCCAAAGTTCTCGAGTCGAGGTCCCACCTCCCCTCTCTCCGCTCCTGCTGCCCATGATGCTTAATGGACGTATTCCAAGGACTTTTTCAGGGTTCAGCTCTTCGGACAGACAGGTAGCCGAGAGGGTAAGACACCACCTCAACTTTGACCCGAATTCGGCTCCCGGGGTCAGTCGGGTGTACGACTCGGTGCAGAGCAACGGGCCCATGGTCGTCACCAGTCTGACAGAGGAGCTGAAGAAGCTGGCGAGGCAGGGCTGGTACTGGGGCCCCATCACACGCTGGGAGGCTGAGGAGAAGCTGGTCAACTTGGCCGACGGCTCATTCCTGGTCAGAGACAGCTCAGATGACAGGTACCTACTCAGCCTGAGTTTCAGGTCACAGAACAAAACCCTCCACACCCGCATTGAACACTCCAATGGCCGCTTCAGCTTCTACGAGCAGCCTGACGTGGAGGGACACACGTCCATCGTTGACTTAATCGAACACTCTATCAGAGACTCTGAGAATGGAGCTTTTTGCTATTCCAGGTCTCGCTTACCAGGGTCTGCAACCTACCCCGTCAGACTAACCAACCCAGTATCTCGGTTTATGCAAGTGCGCTCCCTGCAGTATCTCTGTCGCTTTGTCATTAGGCAATACACGAGGATAGATCTGATCCAGAAACTGCCCTTACCGAACAAGATGAAAGATTATCTGCAAGAGAAGCACTACTGAGGACACAGAGATAGGACAGTGGTAGCAATTTTGCACTTTTGTGTTCAGTTAAGAGATTTCAAGAAGGTTTACAGACGACCACAGTTTGGAGATGATTGGTTCTGGTGGCTCTTGATTTGTGTCCAGGTGACTCTGTCGATGTTAAGTCCTCCATTCCATTGTAATGGGTTTTCCCTGCTGGTTTTAGGAGGCTGTACTTCCATAAACATAGGCCAGCACATAATCTATTGCAGAAGTATAGAATAGGGATACAGCCAAATTGTCTTAGCTGCATAGATTAAGTGCAGACATTAGTGTCGTGTAACATCCAGCTGTGCAAGTAGAGCAGGTTTTCAAAGAATTGCCATCTGCTTTAAAGTTGAGCCTATAGGACGAAAAATTAAAAAAACGTGCTGAATTTCAAAATTAATTTCATTTTTATCCTCCAAATTGTACATTTAAAAGATGAAAAAGTATTGCTACAGTGAAGTTTTTCAAATCAAATGTCAAATTGTCTGCAGACTGACCTATTTTGATCATCTTTTGCTTTTTATTACTCGTCAAATTGTTTTCATCATGACCGAACTACAAATTAGAACATCATTTTGCATTCATACTTTACCAAGTGGTGATGGCCAACCTATGATTGTTACGTTAACCATATTGTTTTCTAACTTACAAACTTATCTACTTGTCCAGTGGATGCAGTTTCTTCCTCAGGTATTCTCTGACTCAACAGCTGACTTTTTACAAATCCAGTTGTGCTTCAGTACGCTTAGCCTGGTGCAGCCTTTACATTCGAGTCACGTTTCCTGCTTTCATTTGTATAAACACGGACATTAATAGACATGGAAACACTAACCACAGCACCATATAAATCCAAAAAAACCAGGCCCACAATATGAACATGTTGGTGCAAAAGATGTCCAAAATGTGCCGGTCTGTGAGAGGGCTTTAACAGTTTGGTAAGAGAAGTAACTTTAAATAGTATGGCTGCATGTAGCCATTATATAATGTGCAAGCCTAAAGGTACTGACCATGCTGGATTTTAACGTGCCGTTTGTAGAAACGGCATCAAAATGATGTATAAACCTTCTTGAAATATTACCAATAATCATTGAATCTTTCTGCATTAGGAATGTTACAAAAAAAACTGCACCGCAGCTCAGGCCTAACAACTTTGTCACTATCTGTAATGCTTGTATCTGCATGTGGGAACGGCGGTCAGCTAAGGGCACAGTAGGGTCACTCTAAATGAGAGGATGTCACAGTAAAAGTGTGCTGAAGCGCAACTCTGAGCAAAAAGCTGTTTAGCGCACATTTACCTTAGGCCGCTTATAAGTAAAGGAAATGGCCCTCAGTTAACCTGCAACCTGTAGTCGATTGTAATGAGCTGGACCCACAACCAACGAAGCCCCGACAATGTGTGAGCTTAGGTAAAAGGACTTTGGGGAAAGCCAGGGTTAAGTCCTCCTCGCCGTCTTGGGAGTGATGCCAGCGTCTCGGGCACACGGCAAAAAGTTATATCACAGCTGCGCGGCATCATTAGTGTCATATAAGTTTCAAGGGCAAGTTTTTGCCATTGCTTCTTCACATTGTCCCCACAGAGCTGCACTCCCCCACAGACCGTCTCTACTTGGCTGTTTGTGCCAGAGTAAAGGGAAGAGCACACAGTAAGCTACGCAAGTGCTTTATACGGATACTTTGACAGGGAATTGTGTTTTTTCACATCATGAACGAGCATCTTTTTTTGACATCGGTGTCCATTTTTAAAAACGTATTTGGGAAATGGTCTCTCAGACAGCTTTGGTAGGTCGTTAGTGCATAGTTCTAGTTTCAGTTCGCTGGAAGTGTCGGCGTCTGAGGAAGTTAACCGTGAATCTAGCACAGCAGAAATTAGATAGGAACTTTGAATGGTGTTGCATGTTTAAAGACTTAAAGCTTCAACCCTTTGAGTTGTATAGGAATGAAGGATCTAGGTTGTGTGTTCGGCTGTGTAGAGGGACGCTGTTCTGCCACATACATCGGCTGGACATTCTGTGTACAAGAAATGTTTTTTCCTTTTTTAGAAATCCTCACGTGAGTTTGTTTTGTGACATTTGCCGTCTGGGGGGATGGGGGGGGGGGCTGTACAAAAGGAATGTACGCTTGTTTGAGGTATCCATTCTATCCTTCGCCTGCAGACCAGTTTTCAGAAAGCATGAGAATCACAAGAACAACGTTGTCACATTTCTTTTTTTTCTTTTTTTTTTTGCACTTGAATATTCTCCCGTTGACATGCTTGGATCCTCTCCTGCCTCGAGTTCTCCTTCAGATGGCAGTTTTAAAAAAGAATTAAAGTCACACATTTGTCCTTATGTGTTCATATAACTGTTTAGCTTGAAACAAGATTGTTTTGTTTTTGTCATATCTGTGGGATATAAAGGGTAAGGCACCAGCATCATATCAAAGCCTTCTGCTAATGCTCATGGGCTGTCAAGGAATTGGATCATGGCAAGAACGCGGATGTAAATTTGAAACTTCTTTTTTTTTTTTTTGGGGTGTGTGTGTGTATTTGTTTCAGTTGAAATGTGAAATTAATGTTGGTCTCTTTTAATACAATGTTCTTTTAATTGCATTTTTCCGTTTTAATTTGCAATTTGTCACCAGATGATTTTGCCAAGCAGGAAGCAGTTTCATAAGGCGTTGCTGTGACTTTTCAATACCTGTGTAGTTAATTATTAAGGGTCATTGCCTCCAATGTTTGATTCCAGAAGTTGACGCTTGTTCAGACCGCTGAAGCATTTTGATTTAGTAACAGCTGTTTAGCACTTAACAAGCTCTGTTTTTTTTTTTTTTTGTGTGCATCTCCGTGAGTGAAGGCGATTGTTTACAACACTGTTTCAAAAAATGCCCCCCCCTCCCTTCCTTTTTTTTTTTTTTTTTTTTTTGATTTACCTACTCTCACATGAACATCTTGGTACAATTTGAAAACTCGTATTTCATTTTAATGTGTTTTACACATTTGTGCTGCTTACGGATATGATTGCCTTTTCGTGTATTTAACAAAACGGGGAAATAGAATGACACCAATGTAGATGTATGTACACATATTGACTTTGGTTTTCATCTTGGGAGAGCAAAGCAGATCTAACAACTGTAGTCGGTTAAAAGAGCATTAGTAGCGATTAGCAAACCCTTTGTAGGATTACCAGTGCACTCCAGTTTACATTGGTCGTCAACTGTCAACTTTCCAAAGTAGATGGACTTTTTGTATTTTTCTTTTGGAAAAAAAATCAACAGTGATTTATTGCACACTTTGGATACAGTTCAAGAGTTTTTTTGTATCTGCCAATTATAAATTATAAATAAAATAAAAAAAACTATATTCTAAAAAAAAAAAAAAAAAAAATCTTTGTACACTTTGTATGGTCTCATATGAAATGACTTATTGAAAGCATAACTGTCATTAGACTAGATTGAGCACCTTGCATGCAGATTTTAAATCATGCCAAAGCCTGGAGACACTGATGCACTTGACACAAGCCTGATCATGCTTGCAGTTGTGTGTTAATAGATGGAATCATTGAGGTCTCAGTGATTTTTCTCTCCACAGTGGGTACAAATATGCAGCTAGTCCCAGAGCGCTGGTTGCCTAATTTACAGAGACAACCCAGGCAGTCTTTAAATACAACCGAGTGAAGGGGAGACTCTGGGGGAAGATCAGCAGCAGTGCTACCGTCCTCGCTTTAACTTTAAGTCGTCTCTGGAGGAACACGGGTGAGTTCCTGCGTTGGGAGGAGGAGGGGGGGCAGGATAATGGTGTCAGGTTTGGACTTGGATCTGCTGAAATACGGTCTGCATGATGATGAGGAGGTAGGCTTTGTTAACTACTGTGTCTGACAGGCCTCTCCAGGCATCTTGAGGTGAAGATACACAACTGTTTACTCTGCCCGGTTCAGGATGATTTATTCATGGCACAGACTGGTGGTCGCATGTCATATGGAGATGCCTCCGTCATAAAAGGACTCCTCTCTGCCTTCCACTGTTACTTCTTTTTCTTTTTAAATTTGCAGCTCTTCAAACTGTTTATACTCAGAATTTAGTGCGAGAGATTTTAGTTTTGCTTGAAGAGTGCAACTTGTCAAGACGTGGCACGGCATCTCAGCAGGTTTGAATTTGCAAACATTGTGATATTCAGCCGGCTCACTTTGCCGCCTCGTACCCAGGATGTTGCCTGCTTACCCAGAGTGTTTCTCTTGCCTTTGAAGGTAAGTTGTCAGGTGACAAAATGTCAAATCCGCAGCTGTTTCAGCACACATTAAAATGATAAAAGTAAAGAAAAAAATCTTGATAAAATCAACAGAAATTCCAGCGTATTTTTCCCTTTCAGTTTGAGTCTCAGTAATGATTCATGTGCTTCATTGTGACATGCGCTGTTTGGCCTGGCAAACTAATCTAGGATTTAGGAATGTTTTTCTATGAAGAGTGCCTTCCTAATTGTCATGTCTTATCTTTACAGTTCTGTTTTTTTTTTTAATTGCCAAGACACAACTAGAAGTTGTGGCACAACCACTAACTCATGTGCCCTGTCTGTTGACCAGGGTATGCTCGGCACATTGTCTGCTTTACATCAAGATTGAAATGATGAAAGAGCTATTTGTTGGTTGTGTGTGTGAAGTTGTGATACAAAAATATCATTTATTGTTAGTGTATTTTATATAGTTTTGAATGATTTGCTTATGAAAGATATTTTGTATTTTGTGTGTTTTTTGTTTTCATTTGTTCGGGCAAATAGCAAACCAAAAAGTATCAACTATAGACTGACATTTTCTTTGTTTTGGAAACAAAGCAATTTGAATATGAAAAGTTCACCAAGGTAGTGGAGGGTTTTAGGAGATTGCCCTTTAACTTAGAAATATAAGTAGTTCAACATTTTGGGAAAAGGAGAGCTAGTTTAGTATTAATACCACTAACATGTCTGTCCCTTAAATATGAAGTTGCTGCCAGTTAGCATAATTTATCATAAAGACTGGAAACAGCTAGCCTGGCTCTGCCAAAGGCAACTTAGAATGATTTATTCTATAGAATTAAGAAAGTGGAAAAACAACAGGTTGTGGTTTTTGCAGGGAGACAACAGGACTTCAGGAAGTTACTGAACCTGGCTATACGAAGACACATAACATCACACATACATAACAACAATAGTCCTGTTTCAACCATGTAAAGGACTTTGTGACTTTGATTTGAAAAGTGTATAAATGAAGTTTATTAATATCAAATGCTCCACGTATGTTCAACTCTCTGCAGGTTTGGTGCTGTGCACAAAGTGTGCAGTGGATTTTAAAAGCTTTTTAACCGCTGGCTTCTGCAGCAGACAAAGACTTAAAGAGAGCGGTGACGGTAAACTTATACAGTGACGTTGTGGGTCAGACAGCTTAACAATGAGCTGAAACTCGTTATAAAGCTCCATGTAGCCGAAAGGAGCTGCAGATTTGGGTATTAACTCTCTGTAGATTCATCACTACGAGCTACCCCTGTTTGTGAAAATATCGATTATATCATTAAGTCCTGGAGACATCTGATCATTCTTGAATAGTGTTAGTCCTTGTATTAAAAACAATCAATTTAGGAGTGATAGCAGATTCCAATCCTTTGTTTTTTTAATTTCTGGCGGTGGGACTGCTGCTTATTTCCATTTGGATTATGTATTGTGCCCGTAAATCCTCAGTCAAAAACATGAATAGTCAAAGACGGCGCTTGCAAGTCTTTCAGTGCATAATGTCGACATAAAAGTGCTCATTTGTGAGCAAATTTTTTCTCAGTGTGGGTCTTAGTCTGAAACTGTTTACTCTGGAGAATCCATCCATCAAGTGTCTGCTGTCCCAGATTGATGATCCATTCCTGCCATCTGGTGCGCTGCATGGTGCAACCATTTTTCACGTGCAAACAGGGATGATGTTGACAGCATGAATTAGCCAGCAAACATATACTTCGCTTTAAATTGTCACGCCAGGAAAACATCGGTGGGTCTAGCTGGTAATGATAAAGCCGAGGTCACCTGCTGGCAACAGATGTCTTTCAACCCAGAGTGAAAGGTTGAGCTCTATTAACGCTTGTGATCTCGTGCCAGCGGTGCCATATACCACTGAGACCCTCTTCTTCTCCATCTATCATGCATTAGATGCCTCTGAACCCCAATTAGACCTGTTAGAGAAGGGACTGCCTTCATCATTATCAGGTCTCCACTGAAACAACAGCTCATCGCGCTATTCATTGTGATCATTCGTCACAGTTTCCCATGTATTCGTGGAGTGCATGTTTGTTGAATTTCAGCTTGGTATAGCTACCACTTTGTGTGTCTCACACTGTTGGGCTGTATGCCTCCAGATCAAAACGCCTTTCATCACGGTCCTCCTCCAAAAGCAGCGTCTCTCCCACACCGAGCAAAGATAGAATTTAGCAAAACAAGTGGTTCAAACTGTGAACACAGAGTTACCAGTCTCTCTGTCTCTCTCTTTCAGAAAAAAAGCGAGTACTTCAGGATTCTTAAGAAGTGAGCATGCTTAATGACCAGAAAATGGCCGATTCCAGATGGCCTCAGCTCCAGGGTGTCAGCAAAGAAGAAGCTGGCCAGTTTGATATTCGATTGATAAGCTGTCATGAAGATAAATCCCTTTGTGAGGCTCTTTCGTGCTTCACTTTTTATACCATTGACATATGATTTTATTTCAGCTAACGTGCTGTTCTTTGTGATATTTCTTGACAGCAGGAGGAAATATAAATTAGCTTCCTGAGCTATTGACTATGTTTCAGAAAGACAGCATTATGAATATGAATGACATAGGCACACTGACTTTGAATGGTAACATGCAGGCACTCTGCGTGTTTAAGTGTGTGTGTGCCTGTGCATTGTGCATAGTTTCCAGTACAGATTGAAGGCCAAGGGGAGTCGTAAGACGGTCATAATTATGTCATTAAAAGAGTGACATCTGGAACTTGGGGGCCATACGGCAACACAGAGTACCCACCTTCTTTCCTCCTTTGCCCCCTGTGACAGGGACAATCCACTCGCATCCCCCATCAATCTGCCCATCCCTCACGTGGGAGCTAGGTGTGTGTGTGTGTGTGTGTGTGTGTGTGTGTGTGTGTGTGTGTGTGGATGTGGTGTGGTGGTGGGAAGAGGGGGATGGGGGAGTGAACAGGTGGCGGCCATCAGGAAATGGATGGGGAATGTTTTGAATAGGAAACTTGCCTCCATTCCTCAAGGAGTAC